TCCACATTACACCAAATGGTTCTATTCTTTTCCTCTTTCTTAGTTTTTTTTTTTTTTTTAAGCAACCTTCCCCAAACTAAGACTTGTGCTATTAAAAGAGCTTAGAACTTCCCATTTCCTTGCTAGGGCTAAAATTAAACTGTCCATTCCTTAGGGCCCAACATAACATCTGCCAGATGTCTTGGCATATCACAGAAGGAGAGGAATTTACTTCTAGCATTATCTACTCTTCTCTCTTGTTTTCTCATAATCAATTAACAGGTCACCAACACCCAGCTAATGTTTCTCTCCAAGCCATCAACTCCGTAAGTATGTGAAACTCACAAGATACTTGCTTTCTCAAACACACAGACACGCGCCGATTTTTTCAGTTCATTGGATTTTAGCAACAGACTACAGAAAGATTTTCCCCCCACTTCCTTTGAATTTCCTTAGTTTCCATATACCAATCATCCAATCATACAAATAATCATGTCAGATCCTTAGCAATCTGAGTCTATTATTTATATATTTCCTAATTTATGACTGTGGCATCATGAAATAGCAACTCTGTTCCCCAGTCATCAACTTAGAATATTCGATACAGCTTTGTCAATTCACTGTCCCATGATGCAGAGAACTGTAAGTCTGAAAAAGGAACAAGCCATGAGGAAGATTCATAAGGTTACCTTAACCAAGAAAGCTCAACACCAAAGAATAAAACTTCAGACAGACTAGATCTTATTAAAATCCATCACACAGAAAACCGGACTCTTTCCCATGGCAACTTCACCATTCTTTTCTTTCAGGAAAACCAACCACAAGTACTCTAAAGTCCATTAGTAGAGTTGGATTTATTTTTCTCCTACTGTCTTCCGGAAGACTCATTAGGAAGAATAGATCTAGTTTGGGTTTTTTTCCTCTAAAAGTTGCCTCCAAACCCAAAGAGTGGAGGAAAAGCAGTCCTCAGGGAATGTGGTCAATGAATGAGATGGACATAAATCCAATATGAGAAATATTATGGAATATGAAGATCCAACAAGAATTTTTTAGGGCAATGCACATCATGGCACACAAATATTTCTCCATAATGATTTCTCTTTGTGATATATTAAAGCCATGGCAAAAATTTGCATAACAAGCCTCATGAACTTGATGTCTCAAAAACAAAAATGATTTTTCAGCTTTGACATCAAATGAAAATGTCCAGTTTAACACTCTTTTTATTTTTCATGGTGGTTTATCCAAAATAGTTATCTTACCTAAAATGTGTGTAGAAAAATTCAAGAATACATATCTTTAGATATTGTAGTGCTTCCAATGTTGATGAAGGGCACCAGAGATGGATGTGTCTCTTAGGTAACCAGTTAGAACACGTTCTCAAACTCCAAAATGCCTCTTAGATACCTAATTTATTCCCTCCAGGAAAGCCCAACTCTAAGATTGTCTATTAAGACTCCAAAACATTTGGTTGCAAAGTGAAAAATGTGGTGAGTCAAACTGCTGGACTGGCAACCAGTTTATCACATTTTTTTTTTCCCTGCTGAAATAAGTAAATTAACCAGTTGTCCTGCTATCAATAATTAAAAAAGATATCATGAAAGTCTGTTTCAAGATCAATAGATAATGTATTTATCTTTACCTAAACATATATGGTTAATTAGATGCAAAATTATCTGGTAATCACTTTCTCAAATAACTCTTTTTATACATTGCATTTGAACTTCAAAGTTTGAACAGGTAGCATCTATATATGCATTAGCAAATTTAAATATAACATTGACTTCATCCTACTTAAGAGCAAAACTAATAGTATCAAAAGATAACATTCAAAAACGAATAATGAAAGGTATAATTCCAAGTAGGATTTTTTTTAGAGTGCTCTTGGAGAGGCCTGGGTTTTTAATAAAGCAGCAGAGATCTGAACAGAAGTATTTTTAAATGAGCATACACATCAACTGAAAACCATACATTTTTGTCTGTACAAACAGGGTTTTACTTCATTGACCATGGACAATTATCAGCTAAAGAACTGTGTATTTCCCCTCTCCTTTCACACCCCTCTGAAGAACAATAACCCTCAATTAATGACACAACAGTTTGGTTTGAAAAATGTGATGTTGTCATATACAGCGTTGTGCATTTATTGAGTGACACTGCTACCAGCTACTTAACAGAATATAATTACATCTGGAATCTAAAACCACTTCAATATGCACAAAATACTGTAGACATAAGGAACTTTATACAAAAAAATCTGACACATAATGAGAAAGCAAAGCAAGAAAAATGCTGGTATAAGTCGCTCACCAATGTGTTCCTTATTTCTGTTGAAGCTGGTACCTTTCTGTATTTCTCCTTAGTTGAAAGCAAGGTCCAATTAACCTCCTTAGAATATATTAATTGGTTCTGAATCTCCTCCAAGTTTTCATTCCACCGTGGAGCCCTCCTCACCTATCTTCAATAGTCCACCTAAAATTCTTCCAGCATCTTCCCTCATCCTCAAGATGGCTACCTTACCTAATGGAAAAGCAACATCTTCATGATTGACTTTTATAAATTCCTGAGGCATTTCAGGGTTTAGCTCTTTACTTGGGTCAGTTACACACATTCTCTAGAACGAATCTGTGAAGAACTCCAATCAATGCGTGTGGACTAGGGTAAGACTGTGTCCTTTTTTTCAAATCATCCTCACAAAAATGTCTTCCTCCAAGATTAATAAATTCCTCCCAATTAAAAAGGTGAAGGTACCTAGACATAAGGTTTTCTCAATTGATAGAATAATTTAAAATTTTTTTCCCACAGTGACAGTGTCAAGAAGACCAACTGATATTTCTGAAGACTTACAGTACTTCAGAACACAGAAAAAAAATAACTGAAGGAAAGGGGGAAACAAAGGAACTAAAAGAAGGCCTAACATACAAATGGAACAACCTGAAGAGAAATGTAGAGCCTGGAGAAACTGGTGTTAGTCAGTCAGTCTTAGAGTTCCTTTGAGGTCTTGTAGGATTATTATTACTATTATTATTGTATGCAGAAATCAACCCACACCAGACAATAAAGTCTTACAATGCATCAAAACATGATGATAACCTAGCCCCAGAACTCAAAAATCTCAGCTTAGGGCCACCACCATCTTCACAATGAGGAAATAACATTTCCTGGTGGCTTTTCAGGAGACCTGGAACAGCTTAAAGTTGTGTGAAGACCTCAGGAGAAATGTTTAAGGTTTTGCCTTGCCTTTCCTGAAAGAGGTCAAAACCCTTCAGGTCCACTCAAAAGGAGAAAAAAATTCCAAAAGTTTACTTTAAAATGGAAACAAACGCCTCAGTAACTTGTGAAAGCACTCCTTTGGTGGGAGAAAAATCTGAGGAACCCTTAAAAGCCCTCATTTCCTTGCATAATGAATAGACAGTGAGGAACCACCACAAGGTTTCCCTTTGGAAAGAGAGAAGGAGTAGCAAGCAAGCCTCCTCCTCCAGCCATCACCAACAGAGCTTCAAAATGGAGACATCCATAATTTTATAAACACTTCTCATCTCAGCTTTGTCTCCTGGAAACCCGCTCTCCTCCATTTTCTGGTGGAGTTACAACATGACACGGCTTACCTGACTCAGTTCCCAGCTCTCAACCAAACTAGTCACTTCCTCCAAAAACCTGCAAGCAACCTCCAGAAACAAAACCAAAGCAAACCAAACAGCCAACACAGACACTCAGACACAGCCCCCGGGAGCCCCAGGAGCCCCAACTGGTTGGTCTTTCCCCATCCCAGACGCGTGCTTAAAAATGAAACTTTTTTTTTTTTTTTTTTTTGGTTGGGGAGGAATATAAAAGGAACTCCAGGCAGCCTCCCTCCCTCCCTCTCTGTAGGTTAGAAGCTACAATGAAAAGAAAATGAGGGTTCCTTCAGGAATGGTGAACAGCCTGGAGAATGAACGTGAGAAGGAGCTTTGTGTTTTGGAGTCTGGACTGGAACCAAAGCAGACAGCTTGCAAATGGAGGACAGGGAGATAAAGAAAGGGAAAGAGGGGTTGCTCCAATGGGGGGCGGCTGCGGCTTCCCCTCGTGCCTGGAAGGAGGGCAGACCCCTGGGAACTGCACCAGGAGTGAGACGCCCCCCCAGGCCCCTGCCTTCCTTTCTCCCTTCCTCAGAGGAGAGCCAAGCGTGTGTAATGGCTTCTCCTCTCCAGAAACCGTTGTCCTCCTCCACCAGACGCTTCTGAACCCCCAGCCTGGAGACAGCTCCTCAGCTGCTCCTGAACCTGCGCCCCCCGCCCGGCCGGGGCCCCCCGCTCCTCGCCTCTGTCCTCACCAGCAGCACCGGCACCCGCCGCCGCAGCAGCCACCCCGACACATCCCGACCCCGCATCCCAACTTCGGGGAGAGAGACGGAGAGAGAGAGGGAGAGAGAGAGCCAAATACCTGAGGAAGAGGGGGGTGCCAATCCGCACGGCTTTGCCATCGGGCGGGGGACAGGCAGACAGAGGGGAAAGGAAGGAGAGGGACAGAGAAAGAAAGAGGTCACCCGCTCAGGTCGGGGCCGCTCGCTCGGAGCGCTCCCTCCGCTGACCCTCGCTCGCTCCCTCTGGCTCTCGGCTCAGGGCTCCTGCCTCCCGCCCTCCGCCCCCCTCTGTCCCTACTCCTGTCCCCACACTCGGAGCATCCGTCCTAAGCCTCCAGCTCTCTTCTCACTCATCTTTCATTTTCTCTTCTCTTCATAGAACTACACGAAATTAATTAAGCCACAGCGCTCCGCTCCCCCCAGCAGAAGGAGCAGCCAGCAGGAAAAGCACAGCCACCTCCACTGCCACCACCACCACCTTCTCCTCCTCTTCCTCCTCCTCCTCTTCCTCCCTCGCTTCTCCTCCTCCTCTTCCTCCTCCCCCTCCTGCTCTCCCTCCTCCCCCTCCTCCTCCTCCTCCTCCTTCTCTTCTCTCTTGCTTCTTCTCCTCTTCCAACAGCCAGTCCATGCAGGGGACTTCCTCTCCTCCCGGTTCCTCCAACCCTCCTTGGCCGAATGAATGAGCGCGTTTGTGCCTCACCACCCCGCGCTCTACTCCCCGGAGCACTCGGACCACCCCGAGGTGGCTGTTAATTGCAGTAACTTACAGAAGAAGCGTCCCGGCGCCGGGAGGTGCTTCGGGTTCTCCAGCCCCACCGCCTCCTTATCCTCTTTCTCTTTCTCCTCTTCCTGCTCGGGTTATTGTTGTGGAAGTTGTTTGGGAGTCTCATGTGCTTCTGCCGGGTCTCAGCAATGGAGGATCGCCATCTTCCCTGCCTTCCTCAGCTCCTCAGACTCGCTGCAGCTGCAGATGACCTGAGATATCCGTCTCTCTCCCTCTCCCTCCCTCCCTCTCCCTCTCACTCTCTCTCCTCTTCTCTCTCCTCTCCTCCCTCTCCCTCGCGCGCTCTCTCTCTCTCTCCCTCCCTCTGTGTCTCTCTCTGAATAATGAGCAACCAGAGGGAGAGAGAAAGCAAGACAGAAAGAGAGAAGGAAGACAATCTTCTCCTGCCACACAAAACGCCGGAGCACCAGGGGGTGCGCGAAGCCTTTCTAATAACAACAACAACGTGCAGGAGAGAGGAAGGAAGAAAAAAAAAAAAAGAAAGAAAGAAAGAAAGGAGGAAAGGGCTAGAGGAAAAAAAGGGAAGAATTATCCAAGAGCTGGAGAACAGCAGAAGGAGAAGCTGGAGGAGATGCTGAGGCTGCGGCTGCTGTCCCCCCTCCCCCCCGCCGAACCCCAGAAGGAGGCAAGGTGGTTGCAAAGTTAAGGCTGGGACATTGTCTTTGTCACTCAGAGCAACACAGAGCCAGGCCAGTGAGATGCAAGAGGAGGAGGTGGCGGCGGCTGCGGAGGAGGAGGTGGTGGTGGAGGAGGAGGAGGAGGAAGAGGAGGAGAAGGAGGCAAAGGAGGAGGAGAAGGGGAAGAGGGAGATGAGATGAATAAAGACTTGCGGAGAAGGCGGTGCGAGGAGCGCGGCCGCCGGGCCGGGGCGTGCGCGCTCGCGTCCCGGTGGCGCCCGGCAGCCCTGGCCGGCAGAGGAAGCCCCCCGTGAGGACCCTGCCCGGCAGCTCATAGCGCTCCCAACATCAGCCCTGCCCGAGGCGCCGGGCCCGGGCCCCAGAGGGTCCCTCACATGCATCCATCTAGAGGCCAATCTTTGCAAAGAACATACATGGGGAACTGGAGGTTGCAAGTCTAAACCCAGATCAACCACGTGGGGCTTTTTAATCCCTTTCCAGCTTGCGGTGTGAGTATCTCCAGTGAAAAGCTCAAATTGTCCATTACTGGCACGTATTTTGAAGTCTTCTCCCCCTGAAATAAAGGCTCATTGTGCGTTTTATTTCTTTTCTGATATGGAACAGGGGGGGTGGGGGAGGGAGAGAACCCATCATTCCGAGCCTCGGAACCACCACTTTCTTTTCCTAACTTGTGAAATGTTTTGACGGCGCACCAAAAGAAAAAAAAAAAAAAGCCTACTTAAATAACTTTACACCCTCCAGCCCCGCGTTGTTTGCACTTTCTGGCTGATCATCTGAAGGCTCGGAAAGTAACAATCAGCGCTCCTAATGATAAGGTGTCGTGGTGTTGAAGACAAGAGAGCCAAGATGAAGCTTTCACACCTTGAATTTTTATTTAGTGTAATTTTCCCCAAATCGTTCTGAACTATCTCTTTTGCAAAGAAGTAGGTTCCCCCCTCCACCAGGTCGAAAGTCTCCTAAGGCTTTAATTTGATGGGGACCGGGAGGGGGGGGGCATCTAAAGTGTCGAAAAAAAATCAATGCAGCGAGTCAGGAGCAATTGAAGTTCAAGGGCAAGGGGCTGGTTGTACCATTTCTATTTCTCGGATCCTTGAGTTGGACATCAACAGCCTCGGGAGAGAGAAACGCGCGGCGCGCGGGGCAGAGACCTTAATTAAAGTTTCTTTTGTCCGCGTCTGAATTGGGGGATGTTGCTGGATTCCTTTGCATTGAAGAGCGCGCATCCGGTGAAGGCGCGGTGTTGAGGATCCCGGGCCAGATTGTCCTCTTTAATACTCGACCCTTCCCCTTCCTCCCCCCCCCCGCCCCCCAAACGACAGTCCGGGAAGATCGACCCATAAATCCATACAATAAAGGGGGAGCAGGGGAGACGCGCGCGGAGTTGGTTCCCATCCGCTAGCGGGGCTGCATAAACACATCCGAATCCTCATTTTCCAAGATTTTCCTGACCGCGTATTCCCGGGCAGAAACCTCTCACCCTGAGGCACGGTTTCAACCCCCCCTTCCAGTCAACACTTCCTGCCCTTTTCTCCTCCCACTCACATTGAAAAGCTCGGGAGCCCTAAAAGGGTGTTGATGGCGGGGGTGATAAATAAATGACACTCTACGCGTGCGGCGGCGAAGAAAGGAGGGGGAGGGCGAGGGAAGGCGAGGAGAGGGATGAGGAAAAGTAGGGAGCGGAGAACGAGGAAGAGAAGACACGGAGGCGAAAAGGCAAAACAGGAGTCAAAGAGAAAGAAGAAAGGGGAGAGGAAGACGGCGAGGCTGCTCCGGACCGAAACGGTCGTGGCTTTGTGCGGGATCGCGAAGACTCGCCCCTCGCCAGGGCCGGGAGGGACCTGGGGAAGTCCTCGCGCCCCGAGCTCCTCCCTTCGGGGACCCCGGGGGTGTCTGCGCTGCGGCCGCCGCTCCCCCATACATTCCTCGTGGCCACCGGGGGAAGCGCGCCGGGTCTCCGCCGTCCCTTCCACGTCCCGGCTGATAATTTACCTCTTTGTCTTTTAATAAAAAGCTGACTTTTTCTGTCAAGCTCTGCACCGGGAAAATAACAATCGTATTTCAGGTTGAAAGCTCCCATGACTGCTGGGTTTTGGAGGCTGCGATAAAAATCTTCATCGACGTGAAGGTTAGCTGCCGGGGTGGCTCGGGTCGAAAGCGCTGAGACGGGGCCGTCCCCCGCCCGGGGGCAGGGGCGCAGGGAGCCGGGCGGCGGGCGGCGGGCGGGCGGGGAGGGAGGGAGGAAGGAGCGACCAGGTCAGCGCAAACCTGGGGCACCCCAGGGCTTCCCGCAGTCGGGGAATGAGCCCCGGGGAGGAGCCTTTTGCCAGGACGTGAGCGCGCCCCAACACGCCTCAGACCTCATAAACCCACTTGGCAAAGACCGGGAAGCGGCTGGCGGAACGGCTGCGGTGAACTCTAGAAATTAACCTGCGCTACAATTAAACGCGCTGCTGCCCTCGCAGACTCACCTCGAGCGGCCGGGATAGAGAGAGCTCCCGAGCCGGCCGCGGGGGGACCTGGCTCCACCCTCCCGTCCCAGGAGAAGAGGACAAAAAGGGGAGATGGACTTGGAGATGGCCCCGCCCTTCAAACGCTCCAATCCTTGGAAACCAAACCTCCTCTCCAAGCCTCCACGTCTGGAAGGGACAAAGGCAGCGAGGAGATCCAGAGGCTGATGGGGAGATGGTGGCTTTCGGGCTTCCGATGGGGGCGCGTTGGGGGAAAGGCACAATGGCTAAGTTTCCGTCCGAATCACGGCACCACGGGATGGTCTTCAGAAGACACGCTCAGTCTTCTGGTTTAGAAGCAAACTGACTTCCTGAAGCTGCGAGCTGTCGCCAAACACCCGCGTAGACCTGGTTTTTGAACGTGGGGAGCCTAAAATTTCAATTAATGATGCCGCACACGTAACCTTCTCGACTTTTTAGAAGTCACAAGTGCCTTAACTTTGCAACTAAGATAGTTGGAAGAAATTAAACATGAGAGGGTTGGGCTTTTTGAATTTTGCTTGTTTGTTTTTATTTGAGGCAGTTTTTTAAATGATAGTAAAGCAATTGGATAAATAAAAGCTAGGTCAGTCAAGGAAAGCGTTGTGGCTGAAGGTTTTAGGAAACCTTAATAAACTTGGCACTTAAGTAACTGTAATTATGCTTTGCCATTAGCGAACCATTAAGATAAACAGGAGAAAGTTCACACCTCCTGCTATTTCATTCCCTAAGACTATCCACAAAGATAATACAAGCCTAGTTGGTGGGTTATCTTCTCCATCAGGAAGGTTAATGTTTAAATTTTTTAATTAAAATGGAAAAGCTTAGGGTTTATGCACAGCCAACAATGTGAGGGAAGTCTCGTGGGGGCATACTGGCTCCCTGAAATTTACCTTTTGTTACTTTACCCTATGTCATTATCCCCTGGAGTCATGAGATTTCAAGAATTTATTAATATTCCAGGGAATATGAATATGTTAGAAGTCTGGACTTTCTTCTCCCTTACCATGGGTGACGGGCATACAGATTCCTCATAAAGAGAAATTATGGTTCATCAAAAGAGTGACTTTATGATCATTAATAGAATAATAAATCTTGCACTTTTAGTTCAAGAAACAGTGAAGTCCTATAATCAGAGTGACCCATGCAGATATGATATTACTTGCCCAACTCTAGCAGGATAGAGATCATCTATAAATCATTTTGGTTTTTAAAGCCTTAAAAAAGGAAGACACCCAAATTTCTCAAAAGAAAGTGTTTGGGGGGGGGGCGGGAAACAGGACTTCTAGCAAATCTACAGGGAGGAATAAAAAAAATTGAGAAGAGTAGGTCCACAGGCTATATAAAAAAGATAGAATTTCAACTGAAACAAGAGTGTATAATGTTCTCATGTCATTGTTTCAATATTTACGTTCTATCATATAAAAAAGGAAGAGTCTTCCTGCTTCTTGAATACTGTACCAAAAAGAAAGAAAAAATCTGGTTGGTAGTCCCACTTTCTAAATTCCAGCTGGAAAACTGTTCAAGCTGATGATTTTAGCAAAACAAAGAAGAGTAGGTGACTAGAGAGTATGACTTTTTCAAAGTCTTAATGATTCCATCCTTAAACATTTAACCATATTGTTACACACCTCTTAACTTGGTGGTATTTCCCTGCGATGTAAAACTCTTTTTCTATGCAATTCAGTGTAGTCTTTTGGCTGAGTTTGTGGTTTTCAATGGGTTATTTATTTTGAATTCTTGAGATGTTTATCTTGTTGGAAATTAGTCTACAAAAGTTTTTCTGAAAACTTCAAATTGGGTAATTATGGATCCTCCAAATATCAAGAAAGTGAAGTTACTAGCATACCTTCTTTCTGATCTCTTACAGAAAAATCCGTATATTTTCACAAACCCATATTTAAACATGTAACTAGTGGACTAGTGTCCATACCTAGGAAAAAGTGAAAAATAGAAGACAAACCAAAAGGTGGATGATTCATGATTCTGAACAGTTCTCAAAGGAAGAGACATTGCAATAACTTATATTAAACTTACTTTGTATGAATCTTTGTATATATACCTTTGGATATCAAAGATGTTTCAGTAGTGATAGTCTAAAATTCAAAGGAAAGTCTTTCTCTCTTAGGTAGAAGTTAAATTTGCAGTTCTATCAAACCAGTTATTGGGATATGAAACATGTAATATCACTTAACCATTGAATATTTGTTTAGCATCTACAATATACAATACTCATAGCAGAATACTAGGAATACAAAGATGAGTAAAAGAAGGTGAGTCAAATGTGTGCTGCACGAGCTGCTTCGTGAACCACTAGCTTCAAAATCACGTTACTTGCTTATAGAACTTCAGATTTTTTGACTTACTCCAAAGCAATACTGGAATTTGGCCAATAAGGAGACTATAATTAATTTGAACATTTCTATTCTTACAATGGAGCTATTAAGGAGTAATATTTTGTTAAAACAAAATTTTCATTTTATCATTTTAAAGCCAATATCTTGGCTTAACTCATAATTTAACATAAAATTCCTATTCAGCAATCTTTTTTAAAAGGAAAGAGAGCAAGCTTCCATCAACTATGGTTAGATTAGCCAAAATTCTGAAGACAAGACTCAAGTGAAAGATAGCCCATTTGTTGAGGCATCCCTTCCAGCAGAAAGACCAGTATTTCCAGATTCTTACTACTTATACTCAAATTGAGACCCAAAGAAAGGAAGGGACTTGTTCTGGAACACAGAGCTAGTAAGGGACATTCACATCTGGAATCTACACTTCCATGGCAGTTTATCCAAAGTTATCATTCTCATGCTACCTTCAAGATATCTTTTCGTATATTTCCATACTACTTGTACTGTTATTTACATAATATGTATTTTTTAAAAATCAACTTTTTAAAAAAGCTTACCTTCATCATAAGCAATAATGTTCATGGATCACAGGTCTGATGGGCTATTTATATATAAATTTTTCAGTGTGCATCAAGATAAATATATTATTAAAAGAAATATTTTTGGATAAAAAACACAGTCTGTTAGTATACATGCCAAACTGTTAGTGATAAAGAGCAAGAGAGGTAGAGAGGGAAGTATCAGAATTTTTTTTGTGTGTATACAAAAATGAATCCATTTTATAATTTAAAAAAATTAAGAGAAAAATTATGTGATATAGTGGCTAGTATACCTCCAAATTAAGCCATCTCATTATATATTCTTAGTGGGAATTAAAAATTAGCACAAGGCTTTTGGCTCAATTTAACAGTATATATTTAAAATTGTAAAATGCTCACACTTTTGACCCCTTAATTCCTCCTCTTAGAATCTACCCTAAGGAAATAGTAAGAAATGTCGAAAACATGTATGCAAGAAATGGTAGAGATAAAGTAAATAATTGAAAATTAGTGATTAAGAAAAAAGGAATAGTTAGGTAAATAAAAATACATTCACATTATGGCATATTAGGCAGCTTAAAATTGCTTATGAGAATTTTGTAATTAAACAGAAAAATGGCCTAATATTATATAAAAAGCCTAGTACAAAATTATGATCACGAATTATTTTTTTCATAATACATACTCAAAAAATCACCTTGCGCAGTAACACACCAACATGTAAATAGTAAGTTGATTTCTCATTATAAAAAATTTAGAAAATTTAGAACTTAAATGTAAACTATGTAAGTTATATAGTTATATAATGATAAATAAGCTGTATGTGTGTGTTTGTGTGAGTGTGTACACACCCATGCACACTATGGAGTCACTTGCTTTGTTGGGACTGAATTATCAATTATCTTTTTAAGTATTTAAAAACATTTTAAAATTAACTGATAAAACCTACTTCTACATGTATGGTAATTATAAATGTGTTTCAAAAAACACGTTAATACTGCTAATGAAATAATGGTCCAATAACTTTTTCACATAGATATTTTAATTTGCTTTTCACAGGGAATATAGGAAGAAGGTTTGAGTGGGCATTTTGAGTATATTTTATATAGAAAAGGAAATTTAGGACCAAAGAAATTGAATGATTTCACATAAGATCTTCCAGTGCTAATAGTATAAGGACTAAAATCCAGGTCTCCTAATCCCTACTCTTGCATTTTGAAACCTATAATTCCATTTACAATTTCAAAGATATTACCAAATGTCAGCAAAAGAAAATTACTAATGGCCAAAATGATAAAAGTTCAACATCATCAATTTTGCAAATGAAGGAGCTACATACAGTACTTTTACACATAAAAGTTGATAGAAGCATACAGTTGGTCCTCCACATCCACAGGTTTTGCATCTGTGAGTTCAACCAAATGCAGATGGAAAATATTCAGAAAAAATTAAAAATGATAATACAACAATAAAATAATACAAATAAAAATAATACGGTATAATAATCTACATAACATTTATATTGTATTAGGTATTATAAGTAATCTAGAGATGATTTAAAATATACAGGAGGATGTGTGCAGGTTATATGCAAATACTATGCCATTTTATATAAGGTACTTGATCATCCAAGAGGCCCTGGAACCAATCCCTTGTGGGTACCAAGGGAAGACGATATACTGAATATGTGTGTGTATAGATACACATATGTATATATTTCTTAGTTGTTAAGAGTATATATAATTTCCAGTTGTTGAGGATATGGAAAAATAATTCTCTATTGGTGAGACTATGAAAAATTTCAATCTTTCTGGACATGTTAAAAGTCTTTTACTAAGGAATTTAGCTTTTAGAAACTGATAAAGAAATATTCATGACGTCATCCAAATTTTGTGTATCTAGAGATTCAATACCTCATAGCAAGTGATCGGTTAAAGAAATTATGGTCATTTACGTAACAGAAAGTTTTGTAGCTATCAAATTATATAGGAAATATTGAATGAAATTGAAATATTTGCATCCTTTTTTGAAAAGGGAAAAACAGATTTCAAAAAATGTGTATAGTATTATCCCATATTTACAAATGTGTAGGTGTGTATCTAGGCATTACAAATTATTAGAAAAGTATAATCAAAGCATTAATAGTAGTTTTTCCAGGTGATGTCATATTTTTCTATGTAACGTAACTATGTATGTATTATATATTTTTTTCACTCTGCCTTTTCAGGCTTTTAAATTTTTCTATAATGAATATATCTCTTTTGCAATTAGAAGGAAAACGTTTAGAACTTGCAAATAAATTTTGCCAGCACAAAATTTCTCTTATATCATAAAGACTGACTAAATCAAGTGTTTTTCTAAT